AAATTTTAACTGGAGAAAAGTTTGGCAATTTGGCATTCATACCAAAGATATCTTTGACACTATCTTCTTTAGAAATGCATTTCCAAATGACAATATGTCAATTTCCATCCCGATTGGTATATGCCTTGACCATTAATAAATCTCAAGGACAATCTGTGAAATTTGTTGGGGGTTAATTTGCGTATACCAGTGTTTAGCCATGGGCAATTATATGTGGCATTGTCTAGATGTACATCCTTTGATCGTATTAGTATTCTCCTCCCTAATGATAATTTGGATTTTAAAACAAATATTATTTATCCGGAAGTGTTGTTGTAGTATTCTATGCAGATTAAATGACGTTTTATTAGAAGGTAACCACGTAGATTTATTTTTGTTGATTATATAACTTTTTAAAAAAATTCAATTTAATAATATTTTGAAATTTGGACTTTTGTAGGATTGGACCGAAAAATCTATGGAGCTTAAAAGGAGAAATACGACTACCTTGCTTCGATGGGGATGTAATAAGGTAATTTCAATCTCAAAGTATTTTGACATATATATTTCCAACAAATGTACTAATCTATATTTTTTTTGTTTCCACAAATTACCAGATTGTTGTGCATATTCCTCATTGGAGATACATAAAAGTTAATACAAAGACTTTTTGAAAAGTAATGAGGATGAAGTTTGGGCAAACGCATATTTGAAGACATGTTATTGACACATCTTTTGTAAAGCATACATATTTTTGGTGTATGACAATATAATTTTTGGTGTATAGCATGTTAGTGACACATCTTTTGTAAAACATACATCTTTTGTAAAGCTTTAACCCACTTTTTGTAAAACTTTAACCTACTCTTTTGGTGTATGACAGTATAATTTTATTTCTATTTTTTGTTCAGTGTTTACACTTTTTTTTACGGCCTTTTATATTTTGATATGCAATATAACTTTAAATCTTATATGTTTGTTTCTTAATTTGCATTAAGATTAGGGAGAGTTATTTTATTTGAGTTTTGTAGAGCGTGTAATACAAGCAAAATTGTTATAAGTTCTTTAAGAAGAAAAATATTTCAATATATTTTTTCAGTATCTTTATCAAAAATGACACAAACTTTATAAATTTCAACATAATACGTATAAATTATAACTGCTTTTTAATCTTAAAATTATTTACACCGTGCCTTTAGGCACGGACATACGCTAGTTCTCTTATGTAATTGATTAATGTAACTAGGTTTATCTCCTAAAACTTAATGTATTTGGTTTCAGTTTTTTGAATTCTATTTTTTATTTTTTGTGTTATTTATTTTTTAGTAAATATTTTTAAACTTTTAAGCAATTTTTTTAAAACATTTTCAGATGTATCTTACTTAGATGTATCTAAATAATAAAATATTTGTGAAAAATATTTTAAAAAATGAATAAATACACAAAAATATGAAGAATGTATTGAATTTTCATATATATATATATATATATATACATATTGTATTTTTAGTGTTTACTAAGTTTTTTAAAGATTTTTTTCAAAAATATTATACTTTTTAAATGTATTTATGTTAGGTTTGTTAAAAATTATAAAAATTGCTTAAAATATTAAAAAAATTCAATGAAAAAAAAATACGAAAGATGACAGTATAATTTTCTAAAAAGTGAATTCTGAAAACTAAAACCAAACAATTATATTCAGATTCAAATCAAAATTTATATTTTACAAATTTAACAATATACTCCAAAACAAGTTATCATTTATTTACAATTTATTTAATTTAAAATTTAAAAGAGTAATCATTTCACTTTTCTCATCTATGAATTTTACATTTTAACTCATTTCAATTATAAAAATTTATTATTTTCACGCACTACACACCATCTTCAAAAGTGATGTCTATGTACGAATTTTTATAATTGATGAATTAATATTTATAAATCTATAAATTAAAGAATAAAGTGGTATTTATTAATAGTTGAGTAAGTATTGATGTAATTAACTCTAGAAAAAGCTCAAAAATTTAATGTGTGATATGAATTTAATTAAAAAAAAAGTTCTACTATATAAGAGTTGAAGTTGAACTATACATTATCCTTTTAGCAATAAATAGTTGTATTTAACAAAAAGGGGGAAATTTCAATTTAGGATAAGTTTTGAAAAATAATAACAAATAAGTGGTAAATTAAATTTTATATAAAAAATTATATATAATTTATTAAAATAAATAAGGAGATTGACTGAGGCCCTAGTGGGGTGACCCCAGCATCCCCCACTGTTTTTTCCTTGGCTAGGAATTTTTTTTTTTTCAAACCTTCTCACAGGGGTTATGTGGCGCCGGGGTGCTGGGAGTCACTAAGGCTAAGTTTTGCATCTTTAAAAAAAGTCAAAAAGTTAAAAAGTCACTATCCTATTTAAGTAATATCATCTTATTTAAGTCACATTATCTCTCTACCATATCACTTCAAATCCAATTTATATTTCATAAAAAGTCAAAATGTACACTTATTTAGAACATCCAAAACAATTCTTAAGCCTGTGTTTGGCAAGTGGGTTTGCAGGCTTTTTTGGCTATTTTAGCCACAAAAAACAAAATAGGTTATTTTAGCCATAACAAACAAAACATCACATCTAACTCATAATCATTACATTCTTCTCTCACAAAAAAACTCAAAAAAATTAAAAAGTCAAAAAATCCTTCCCAAACCAAGCTTTTAAGCCCAAGTTAAAATAACTAAAAAAGTCAAAAAGCCAACCCACTTTCCAAACCAAGCCTAAATTTAAGTTTAGGGGTTGTTTGGGATGATCTAAATAAGTGCACTTTTTAACTTTTTATGAAATATGAGTTGGGTTTAGGTTGAGTTTGAAGTGATGTGTTAGAGAGGTAATGTGACTTAAATAAGATGATTGGTATGCCCAGTAAAGTATCTGCAGATACTCAAGTTTATTAATTTCACCAATCAAACATTGTTTTCTAGTGAGAGAGAAACATGAGGAGACAGGAGCACATAGAAGAGAGAGAAAGAGAGAGTACAGAGATGTGACCAAAAAAGGGGAGGATAGGATGTGTGAAGAAGGCAGGAGCACTCAACCAGAAAAAAGTGGCAGGAGCCAATAATACAGAGATGTGACCGAAAATGGAAGGACAGGCATGTGTGAAAATGGCAGGAGCCAATAATTTTTGGTGTGAGTGGGGGGATAAATTTTTCATAAGTTGATAATTAATTTTGAAATAATATTTGAGATTTTAAAAATTTTATTAAAATTTTTATCAAATATTTTATATAGGCATAAGATTTATATGATGTGAATTTTATGTGAGTTTCATACCAATATAAGATATTTTGGTTGTATATTCTTGAGGAGAGAGTTTAAAAAAAAATTTAATTTGTTTAGTTGTATATTTTAAAAATAATTTTAGAATGTGAGAGTTTAGAATGATTTGATAATTTATTATAGTTGAGAATAAGAGAAGAGAGATAAAAAGTGATTGATTGCTGTGTAAGAGATAAGAAGTAATTTTAAAATTTCTTTTCTCAAAATCACTTAAGCCTCTGTTTGGCAAGATGGTTTTCAGGCTTTTTTGGCTATTTTAGCCACAAAAAACAAAATAGGCTATTTTAGCCATAACAAACAAAACATCACATCCAACCCATAATTATTACATTCTTCTCTCACAAAAAAAGCCAAAAAAGTCAAAAAGCCAAAAAGTCCTTCCCAAACCAAGCTTTTTAGCCCAGGCTAAAATAGCCAAAAAAGTCAAAAAGCCAAAAAGCCAACCCACTTCCCAAACGGAGGCTAAGTCAAACAAAATTTTAAAAACATTCCTTCAAAATTTATTTCTCAAAAAGAACCAAACAAGGCTTAGATTTTTGTTCCACTGATCAACGAGTAAAACCTCCTCACAACTGGGGCGTAATTGTCCCTTTTTATTAACCATTATAAATTATTAACCACCCATTATTGAAGTGTAATTTTATCTATTAATTAATAAGATTTGAAAAATAAAAAAATCTTGCCTAAAGCTTAGGTCTATTTTGAAAACAAGGTAAAAGTTATTTTTTAATTTTTTTTAAATCATATTATTGCTCTATTTTATATATATATATTTTAAAATTAAAAAATTAAATTTTAATTTATTTTTTAAAATAACCCATACTAAAGTATGAACTCACAAAATAAAACTTGTGTAAATGTTTCCGTTTGTGAAGTGGGTTGGTTTTTTGACTTTTTGACTTTTTTGACTGAACTAAAAAATTTGGTTTGAGAAAGGCTTTTTGACTTTTTAGATTCTTTGATTTTTTTTTTGTGAGAGAATAGTGTAATGATTGTGGGTTGGGTGTGATGTTTTATTTTTTGTGATTAAAATAATTTATTTTGTCTTTTGTGACTAAAATAACCAAAACACTTAGAAAAGCTCTTCCCAAACGGAGGATTCTCAAGAGTGTTTTTTTTTTAAAGTTTCCGAAAGTGGTGTATTGTGTGATTGAGATTTGATGTTAAAAAATTGATGTAACTTGTCATTAAATTTTAACCATACAATACACCACTTTAAAAAATTTTAGAAAAAAAAAAACTCTAAAAGAACTTTGCTCCACAAAATAATGGCGCTGTTTGGGAAGCCTCAAACGAGGCTATTGTAGCCTATTTCCATAAAATAGCCCAAAAACCCCACTTTTGCCAACTTTTTCAAAAAAAAAAAAAAATATATATATATATATATATAGCCTGCACGCTGGATGTCTACACTGTCACAGCCGGCAATTGTTCCATCAACAGCTGAATTACCGTTTTACCCCTTAGCCTACAATTAAAAAATTATAATTGTAGGGACAAAATGGTCATTTTAATTACAAACATCTTTTCAACACTTTTTTTAATACACCAACTCAAATAAAAATTTAACCCAACTTCTCAAACACAAAACTAAAATAACCTACTAAAATAGTCAAAAAAACCAAATAGCCTACTAAAATAGCCACTTCCCAAAGGAGGCCAATGTAATAGCTTTTTTTTTGTTTTAAGCTCTCCCCAAACTTAGGCCAAAACAAGAGAGAACACAAAGAAAGAATAGAGAAGAAGAGAAGCAACAACAATGGAAACAAACCCTCTTCCACTACATCTGTCCCATGTTCAAAAACCCTCTCTCATCATCAACAGAACACACTCTCTCCTCCACTCCACAGCCCTAGCAACCCTAATCTACTACAGATCTTCCACCATCTTCCAAACCCTCAAAACCAGAGACAAACCCATCTTCCCATTACTATTCCTCTCCATCTCTGAACTAATTCTCTCTTTCATTTGGGTCCTCAGCCAAGCACACCGGTGGCGGCCCGTCTCGCGGACCGCCTTCCCGGATCGATCGCCGGAAGATGAAGAACTTCCGGCAATCGACGTATTTATCTGCACGACGGACCCTAATAAAGAGCCGACTGTGGAGGTGATGAACACGGTGGTTTCAGCCATGGCTATGGATTATCCAGTGGACAAGCTTTGTGTTTACCTTTCAGATGATGGTGGTTCGGATGTGACTTTGAATGCCGTGAAAGAGGCTTGGAGGTTTGCAAAGTGTTGGGTTCCTTTTTGTAGGAGGTTTGGAGTTGAAACAATATGTCCTAAGAGCATCTCCAACCCATCCTTGAAGATATGGAGGATTTTTTTTCAAAAAAAACTCCAATTCATCCTCTATATCCTCCTCCAAACGGAGGAGGATGAATTGATCCTCCAAACATAGAGGGAGGATGAAAAATTGAAGAAGATTCTAAAACACTATTCACTCTATATTTCTTATTTATATTCGAAATAACTTGTTATGTGTAAATTTAATTTTATAAAAATAACATCAATAAAAGGTATAAAATCATATTTTTAAAATGAGTATAACATTAAATATGTTTTACAAAAATTTTAAAATTAAATATTTATTAATTAACAAAAATTATTTTTTGATTGGAGTTTAAATGAAGAAAATGAAAATTTGTGGTTTGAATTTGAATAAATAGTGACATCCTCTATGAACACGGTGGTTTCAGCCATGGCTATGGATTATCCAGTGGACAAGCTTTGTGTTTACCTTTCAGATGATGGTGGTTCGGATGTGACTTTGAATGCCATGAAAGAGGCTTGGAGGTTTGCAAAGTGTTGGGTTCCTTTTTGTAGGAGGTTTGGAGTTGAAACAATATGTCCTAAGGCTTATTTTTTGGAGGAAAATCATCAGAAGAAGGATTGTAGGAGTGATTTCTTGGCTGAGAAGGAGAAAGTTAAGGTTGGTTTTTGGCTTTGGTTTTGAAAATTTTTAATTTGATTTTCTCAAAATTAATTTTTTTTAATTTATATATTTTTTAGTGAATTTTTTAATATTTATTTTCTAGATCCACATAATTTAAATGCATATAATATTTGTAAAAAATTATTTTAAAATTTTAATAAATATATAAAAATGTAAAAATGTATTTAATTTTTTATTTTTCTTTTGGTATTTTTTTGTAGTGATGAATTTTTTTAAATTTGTTTCATAAATATTATAATGTTTAAGTTAAATACATCTAAAAAATAAATATAAAATATTATAATTTTGATTAAAATAAAAAAATATGAAAATTAAAAAAATTTAATTTTCTGAAAAGAGAGTTTAATTTTTTGAAATAAAAAAAGGTGTCTTATTTTATTATTTTATTTTATATTTTCACTCCACTATCATCAATGCATATTGAACCTAATCATTTTCTTATTAAGATTTTCATATTAAAATAATTAGGAAATGAAGTGACTTTTAGTAAACTGATTGGACTATCTACTTGCCCCGATCTGACATTCATTATTAACTTTGATAATTTACGAGTCGTTTTGTCCATACAGCAAAATAGTTTCACTAAAAATTTAAATAAATCAGGTTAAAGATTTTTTCCATTATCTTTATTATTATTATTATTATTTTTGTATATTTCCTTTTTGTAAAAATTTAAAAAATAATTCTCAACCATTTCAATTTTTTCATTTCATATTTCAATCAAAGCAAAAACTAAAAAAGAAAATACTAAAAACAAATCACTTTCTAAACCAATTTTAGGATTTGCTGGTTGATTTTTTGACTTTTTGATTATTTTAATCTACGGTTAAAAATCTCATTTATGATTGATTTTTTTGAATTTTTTTTTTTACTTTTGTGAGAGAAAAAATATAATGAGTATATTTGAATGTGACATTTGTCTTATTGAATTTTTAATCTATTTTTTTTTTAGGACTATTTTAGTCAGAAAGCTCTTGGCTTTTTTCTTTTCAAACGAGCTCTTAATCGTTTGTTTCTATTCTATTTTAGATAGAGTTTTTTTGTTGCAATTCATAATAATATAACAAAAATCTCAATTTTATTTAGTAAATTTAACGACTTTTTTTATTATTTAAATTTACACTTTTCAAGACGAAAGAAAAATTAAATTTTCTTGGCATTTTTTTATTGGCAGTGGCATTTTTTATTGGTTTTTTTGGGGTGTTTTGGCAATAAAAAGTTATTTTTTTGATTTTTTAATTTTTTTAATTACATCACCTCTTTAATTTAATAACACAAAAAAAGTTAAAAAGTTAAAATTTGAGATGGGACTATTTTAGTCAGAAAGTCAACTTTTCAAAACACTACTTTGAGATGGGACTTTTTTAATTTAGGATTAAAAAATTCGTTTGGTTTGATTTTTTTAGCTTTTTTTAAATTTTTGTGAGAGAAAATATAAAATGATTATAATTTAGATATGATATTTTTTCTTATTAATTTATTTAGTCAATTTTGTATCTTGTGTTTTTTTTAGCTCAACTAAGGTTTCATTTGCCAATTTATATATTTTAGTTAAAAAATTAAAAAATTATTATTAATTATTACTTTTTATGTTTTATATATTTTTTTTATAAAAAATTAAAAAATTATTACAACAATCTGGTTTAGGATAGCACGAAGGCTAATGAATATTAACAGTTAAATTTATCTAAATTTAGCTAAAAACAAATAGAGGTCTATAAAAATGACAGAGACAGGCTAGTTAAAGTGGCCTAGCCTTCACTATCTTAAAAAAGTGTGACCTAGGCTTAAGGTGTATTTAATTTTATTTTGGGAAGAAGTTTTCTTCAATTAAATTAAGCTTCTATTTGAAAAGTAGGTTGGAAAGCTTAATTTGAGAATGATTTTTTAATTTTTTTATTTTTTTTTGTGAGAAAGAGTGTAATGATTATGGGTTAAATGTGATGTTTTATTTGTTACAATTACAATAGTCTATTTTGTCTTTTGTGTCTAAAATAGTCCCAAATCTCCTTGCCAAACGGAATATAAATTGTAGCAGTGTAATACAGTTTATTTTTTAATAGGAATTTAAAAAAGAAAAAAAAATGTGTGTGAAACATATTATATTTTATTTATATTTTATCAATATATTTTTTCTTTCTCTTTTTAAATTCATAAATTAAACACAGTCTTAGAGTATTTTTTTATTTTAGAGTTTGTATAAGATTATTTAGTGTAATTTATGCATCAACATGATTATTTGTTTATTAATTTTAGTGATGGTTTTTTGGATAGTAATAATTTATTATAAATTTAAGAAGGACCGTGCTAGGCTGAGGAACTCGAAAGACGTCCCCCGAATCCCTAATTTTCTCTTTTTTTTTATTTTTTTTTTTTTATTTTTTTTATTTTTTTTTTAACAGCGGAAGAAGCAAGAAGAAGACGAAGAGGGGGGAGGGGGGAGGGGGAGGGGGGAGGGGGAAGAAGGATTGGAGGGCCTAAAAAATGGGCTGGAGGCGGAGGCGGGCGGAGGCCGACGCGACGAGCTCGGCTGGCCGACGTGACCGGGGCCGGGGCAGACGAGCTGTCCGCTAGATGGGCGCCGGCGAGCAGACGACTCAGCTGGCTGACGGGCTTTTTCTCTCCCTCTCTTTCTCTCCCTCTTCCTCTGCTTTTCTTTCAAAAATGGTGGAAAAAAAGAAAAAAAAAAGAAAAAAAAAAAAACCTAAAGCCCAAAACGACGTTGTTTTGGGCTTTAGGGGGATTCGGGGGCGAAATCCTCGAGCTACCAATCTTTATCCATTTAAGAAATTCGGTATAACAGTGGCTGATATTTTGTTGTGCAGGAGAAATATGAGGCATTCAAGAATTGCATGATGAGGATTAGAGAGAAAGCAAGCATCATTATGACTAATGGAGATCATCCTCCTCTTGTTGAGGTGAATTTTAAATTGATTTATATATAATAACAAATTATTTAGGCCTCGTTTGGAAAGTGACTATTTTAGTAGGCTATTTTAGTTTTTGGCTATTTTAGTAGGTTAAAATTTTTGTGTTTGGGAAGATGATTGGATTTTTTTGTGGTTGGATGTGATGTTTGTGAGAGAAAAAAGTAAAATGATTATGGGTTTGATGTGATATTTTGTCTTATTAGCTATTTTAACCTATTTTATCTTTTTGTGATTTTTAACCTAAACTAGGCTATTTTTTTCTTCCCAAACATCCCCGTAGTGTCACATGCTCATAATATTACAAAGGAGGATTCTTACTTCAATTCAAAATTTGGATGTGAGGGTGCTGTTTTGACCAGTGAGATTCGAGTCTCATTTTGATAATTTACAATCGTTTATTTGTCAAGTATTCTATATTTTATTCACATAAAAAATTAGATCGATTTGATAATTGTAACTAGTTTAATTTATTGCGTTTGTCATAAAAAAATATACGGTTTATTTTTTTTGTTGTCTATTTTTTTTGTGAAAAATATGATAAATTGAACTAATTATAGTTATTAGATCGATTTATTTATAGTTTTTAGTAATTTTTTGGCTTTTTGAAAAAGCTAATATGTTTGGGATGATTTTTTATTTTTTACGAAAAGATGTGCAAAAAGTAGAGAGAAAGGAGAATCTTTGACTTTTTGATATAGGTTGTTGGCTTTTTGATTTTTTTAATATTTTTTTATTTTTTTTGGCTAAAATCATCACTTGTCAAACGAGGCCGAAATACGGAACAAAATAAACGAATTATCAAAACGGAACTCGTGATGAGTTGTCACTGAAATAAGTAAAGAAAAATACATATTTTAATAAAAAAGAGATTAGAATAACATGTTTTCATTTAAAATTAACAAATTATTGATAAAAAAAAATTAACTATTATATAAATTAAAATTTCAAGAAAAATTAATGTAATTGTATTAAAAATATGAAGTTAATTATATATTTTAATAAATTCAAGAAATGTGAGTATAATTTATTCAATTTTAAGTAAATCAGTAATATCCCCAAGTGATGTAAGTGGGAAGAAATTTTTAGCCCTAGTTGCAAAATTAGACTATTGGCACATTTGAAAGCAATTGGTGGGTGTGACAGGTGATAAATGAGAAAGGCATGAATGAAGAAGTTGGTGATGGAGTTGGTGCACAGAATGTCCAGATACCTCTCCTCGTTTACGTCTCTCGCGAGAAAAGGCCTTCACTTCCTCATCATTTCAAGGCCGGAGCCCTTAACGTCCTTGTATGTATTTCTTTTCCTCTTTCTTTTTCTCCCTCTTTTTCCTATTAACGACGAGTTACCATTCAAATTTAAATAAGTAAAAATAAAATAATTTTTTTATTAAATATTGGCCTCTTTTGAAAACCGGATTAAAAATTAATTTTTTTGATTTGTTTAAGCGTCCGTTTGAGAAGTGGGTTGACTTTTTGGCTTTTTGACTTTTTTGACTATATGAGTCTGGGCTCAAAAGCTTAGTTTGGGAAGGGCTTTTGACTTTTTGACTTTTTTGATTTTTTTGTGAGAGAAGAGTGTAATGATTATGAGGTTGGATAAGATGTTTTGTCTGTTGTGACTCATAAGCCTATTCTGTCTTTTATGGCTCATTGAGCCAAAAAAGCCCAATGAGCCCTTGCCAAACGGATGCTAAGTCACATTATCTTTTTATTTTTTTATATATATATTTTTAACAAAAATAAAAAAATCAACAAATCAGCATTTAATTTACTTCTCAAAACTGTTGCTAAGTGATAAAAGTTTGCTTAATATATATCGTTGTTTGAGATGATCTAAATAAGTATATTTTTTGTCTTTTTATAAAAAGATAC